GGCGATTTTTCATTTGTAAGAATATTCTTAAAAAATTATCGTGTTACCATGACAACAACTTTAGATACTTCATGTTCGGAAAATACAATGGTTTTGTCCTGTTATTGGTGGTGCAATGGTTTAAGGTGCCTCTGATGGTTGACACTTACACGTTTTAATTTTACAGAATATTTTCAGTTATTGTCTTCTAAGTATTCTCCAATGTCATAGTCATCTGGTATATATGTACTATATCACAATAGTACCACCACAACTTGTTAGCCTCAACTGCCTATTCAACTACGATTGATTTGTTTTACTCTTTTGTTGTTAGCGACCGTTGACCACTAAACCTTCCTCACTGACCTCACCTATGGTAAACTTTGCATGCAGGTAATGCCTGTATGTCCGCAGCTTTTTTGCAACTCTCGCCGTAATTTTGGTCTTATTTTATGGATGACAGACAGCCATAATTTTTTTACCCAACCCATGAGCTTGTCAAAAACTTGATTACCCAACCCATATCTCTTCGGTACCAACCCCAGGTACAAATAATGAACGGTCCCTAAGTTGAGTAAACAAAATGAGATATAAAAATTCAAAAACGAGCACACATGCATTCACATTATTTCCTGATATTTTCAAAATATTTGGCGCTTGTCAACACGTCTGTTCTAGTAGTGTTGCGACGATCACATGTTCGCGACGTAATTGTTGCAGACGTTATACTGCATGAGAGGGTAATTAAAAGTAGTTAATCATATTGTAATGCATAAATATGTAGATCTTTGCGCGCTCAATTTACATGTTTAATTGTTGTGCCAAAAACTACCGTATTACAAACCGGGACGTAAATAAGTATACAGAAATACTTTTAATGTGAATATGTTGCGCTAAGAACTTAATTGGTGACTCACAGGAGATTACTCCTGCCATCGTCCTAACGCATTATGTATATATTTTCTTTATATACTCTTCTGGCCATAATTCTAGTTTCTTTTTGTATTTGATATTTTACTATACATATAATTATAAATGTGGTATAACCAAATTGTTAGCCTTATTCATTTCTGTTTCTTTGGATGTTCGTTGTGTTCGCCGGGTAAATTAATATTTGAAACTTCGCAAAAATTGCCTGCCAAACAGGCCGTTTGCTGTGACCTCAAAAAGTGCCTAGAAAACGATTTTCATTTAGCATCTCTTGGAACTGAAATATTTTTATGGGAACTAACACTTCCCGCACCGAAGAGTTTTCTCACAAGCTGCTAAGACACACGAAATGACTAATTCGTATGAACCAGTCTCTACATTGAACAAAAGACCGTTTAGCTTGGAGTTAAGGGTTAAATCTACGGTAACTCAACTACTTCACGTCTACCAAGAAATCCTAGATCACTTAGCTGGTGGGAAAGAGGTTGGTGCCATCCACCTAGACATGTCCAAGGCCTTCAGTCGTGTTCAACATATCACATGCTTCTGAACAAGCTTGAGCAATATGACATATCTGGCTCGCTTCTTCAGTGGTTTTGTAGTTACCTGAGTGACAGGTATAATCATATCAGCCCGTTGCCTTAGATGGAACCCTCTCAGACTGGCTTCCTGCATGTGACCTCTGAATTTCTACCGCGATCCATCCTAGGACCCGTCCTGTTCCTAGAAAACATCAACGACATGCCAGAATACGTAGGACAGGGTTCGAGTATTGGATTATTTGCGGATGACTCTAAACTATATAGCGGCCCATTAACTCGGCATCTCACAATCTATTGCAATCGGACCTTTCAGGCCTTCAAAATTGGAGTAATGACTGGAGCATGACGTTCAACCCATCCAAGTGCAATGTGACGCATATGTCTTGGAAAAAGGTCTGCTTTTCCGCTTCACTCCAATACCACCTGAACGACAAGCCCCTAGAAAGTGTGACACACATCTCTGACGTGGATGTCATGGAATGTAAAGACCTCTTCTGGGCTAACCATATTGAAGACATATGCACCAAGGCCAATAAAACGCTTGGTCTAATTAAGCTGGTGTGTGCTAGAGACATTGTGGATGCCAATACGCGGAAGTTTCTCTATCCTGCTGTTGTACGATCTAAGCTTGAGTACGCGTCGTGTGTGTGGTCACCTTACTCGGCCCATCAACGTAGGTTAATAGAGAACGTTCAACGCAGACCTACGAAATTCATTCTGAACTCACCCATTAAACAATCTCTCTCTTGAACACAGGCGTGAACTTTATGACCTAACACTATTATACAAAATCAAAAATAAAATTTATGTCACCTTTAACCATTACCTTACACCTGCAACTAACCCCTATGCTACACGCAACTTCGACCCTAACAACTATAACAAAATCGTTTCCAATAATCAAGAATTCTTCCAACAATCCTATTTCCCACGCACCGTCATCCTCTGGAACAATCTACCACCGAACATCAAAGCCGCCCATTCCCTACAGATCTTCAAGCACCATCTACACTCTTATTACAAAGCCAAACTTGCTACCTATACATATGACCATAGTTAATTATACTCTAAAATTCGCTGTACAGTATCCTATATGTTACGTTGCATGAAATCTGTGATATGTTCGTGCATAATTGTTTTAGTACGTCTCGTTATCCATTAATTATTAAGGAATAAGGGGTCGAATATCAATTGGAAATTAGTTTCTGTTTTCTTCTCCTGTCACAGCATTTTTCTAGTTATTTTTATTGTTATATCTCTATGTAAATGTATATCTTTTATGTGTGTGACAAAATAAAGAAAAAAAAAAGAAAAAAAAAGCGAATATTATTGAAAAGAGGGCTGCCATATACGTTAAAATCACCAAATAAACATCTTATCACACATTTCTCCACTTCGTCGTAAGTTTACAGAGCAGATTTTATACCTTGGCACTGAACCTTGTCTTTGATGTGAACATTTATTCTTATAATTTAGGGTTATGTAAGATTGATCCTGTCGTAAGTGTTCTACCAGCATCCAATCGACAATATTTCATCTTAGTGTTGTCTTTGCCGTTACGTTGGCCTCGCCTTACTTTTGTTTTGAATACCTTGATCGCGTTAAAAGAGTTATTTATCAGGCCAGTGACATAGCCAAAAGAATTAGCATTAACCTTCTTGTGATTTTACAGAGATATCGCTAGAACTGAGGATTTTGGAAGGCGTTATCTGTACTTTCTCAAAGTTGTAGACAAGATATGTTGTTTACGTCCAACACACATAAGATTACATAACTCAAAATGATTCGAGCAAAACGGTCTTTTGCTAAAAGGAAGACTGGTTAATAGAAATTGGTCGTTTTGAGCGATATAATCGTGTGTCGTCATCGATCCGTGTCGTTGAACAATGAAACAAATTTGTTGTGAAATCAGTGAAGATAAAATAGAAGTTTGTGAGAACACTGCGGGTCTATGGCGCGGGATGTTTTCGGATTTGAACTCAGCGTGCTTGAACGTGTTAGTTCCCGTAAAATATTTCATTTCCAAGACATGCTTAATGAAAGTGAACGATATCGGGACGCAACAAACGGCCTAAAATTCAACAAGCCCTTATGGTTACTATTGCGAGAAGATAATACTCTGATCTGAAAACTATAGGACTGGATGGTACATCTGCTATACATAAATGAAGCCAATGGCGGCCATTTTGGTGCATGTGACCGGTAATATTGATGTGTGCGGAAAGGACAAGTAAGTATTGTCTTGATAAAAAATGGTCATCTGCAGCCTCTTTTTCGTTTTAAAATTGCTAGTTGGAATAACTATAATGAGGTCTCACCAATGTGGCAGCAACTTTCACTATAGTGTCCGAAATACACAAGAATCTGTTAATAGGGAGGTTTAGATATGAAAGCATGCTAGCTATATTTATATAATCACGATTGTGTGTTTACGCTTCTGAAATAGGCATTGTTTTTGGCGCAGTGCAATCTCGTGCGAGGTTTAGCGTATTTCTGATTGGCCAATGTGCCGTTAACGTTGCTTGATTTTTATATCTTCGTTCTGCAATTTGTATAGGTAACAGTATGGTTTCGAGTGCAATTTGGGAAAAACATGCACGAGTGAGTCCAAAGGACGAGTGCAATTTGAAGTATTTGAAAACCTCACGAGTAAAAATCGAGCATGGCCAATCTGAATTTGCTCTCAATCAGCTAGGATGGAAGCTATTGAGTGAACGCAGAACTCAGTTTTTAGCGAGTTTGAGGTATAAAATTACCCATGGTCTGATACCAAAAACGCTGATATTTCTCAAAAGACGTCTTTCTCTCAATATTACTAATCACAAGGGTCTTCCGCTAAATTGTATTTGTCCAATATCTCAAAAAAGCCTTAGTTATAGAGTGGAAGAATTGTGGAACAACCTCCTAGATGAATTAAGGAATAAGGAATCTCTTCTTACATTTAATACAAGTATTGCGACATCTGGCCAGTTAAGTCAATTTTTTTTATTTTTTATTCTGATTGTTCGTCTTCTTTGTCTTCACTAGTATCTACTTGTTAATTATGCTTGTAATTTATCTTAATTACTTAAAGCTTTTAATGGAATATTCTCTATGCCCGTTTTGGAAATCAGCATCTGCTGTACCTAGTGTTTGGCGTAGTCAAATAAAGTTTTACTTACCCTGTACCTACCTATACCTACGCACCTACCTGGGATGTTCATTACAGGCATAATACGCAATAATTATTAAGATTTTGACTGTTACAAGTGAAGAAATTAACAAAATTCTTTTACAGTTGCATGGTTAGTATAGTTTAAAATAGTTTGCACTTGTAATTAATATTTAATTTGTTTTTTCACTCTTGCCATAACAAGATATATTCACACAGAAATTGCATGTCCTGTTGTGCATCAATGCAACGAATCCTGGTTTAAACGGCTGCATGTAGTTTCATATAGGGGAATACACAAATGTACTTATATCTTTGTATGGATATGTAAATTATGAATATACTTCAAACACAGGCATGTTTTATGTCATATCATACTGAATAATTTCAGTCAAAAAAGGAATCGGGAATTAAAATTTAGTGACCTTTGTTCCATATCGGAAATTATTAAGTGCCATGGTTTTATAGACTGTACAGTTAATAATAACAACCATTAGTATAAATTTTGCATATCAAATGAGCTTTCGCGCGTTCTGATTGGCTAGTTGACTAGTAAATCTGAGGCATTATTTACCACCTGGGTAGTAAATAATGCTTTTCAAAAAGAATGATTCGGCAAATTTGGTTTCAAAATCGACAAAATATTGAAAAAATCGTCCCAGAAAAAGAAAAAAAGCACAAAATGTTGTATTTAACTTGAAAGGTAGGATTTAGTATTATATTACTGTGTCAAACATATTCACGGACAATTTAAAACTTATTTAAAACTCCGAAACATTCGCTTCAAACGTAAATCTGAAATAGCAAAAAATATCCCGACTTTTGGGAAAAGCCGTGGTATTCTTTTTAAAACAATTTTGTTTTGTATCCTATAAATATCTCAATTTGTACGATACTATTTCTTTTGACTATGTCGTGTTTTCATTGTGCTGTATGGTGTCCTTTCGCTGTATTGTACTATTTGTGTTTTTAAAACTTGTAAAGTGAAAAGTGTATTAAAACTTTTATATTAATTCGAACGATATAGTTTTACATTTCATTTTACCAAATTTCTCAGCCATTTCCTGAACAAATTAATGCTAAACAGAAACTATTTTTTAATTCTAAGTCTGGTAAAAAAGTCATTCCATCATTGTGTTTATATTCTAAGCAGAAATCGAGAAAAATAACTTTGTAATAAAGCAATAAAGTCGCACAGGAAGCCATTTTGAAAGCGTGCGTGTACAAGAAACACTGCAACACTAAACCGTAAACCGGTCGTAAACAGTTTTATTTCTGAATTTTAATTAAACTTATAGTTGGATAACTTGGATATTTTGTTTTATTCATTAAAAATTTATACTAAAACAATTATTCGCCTCAGGCTCAGTGATTACAGTGAATATTCACCTCGACTTCGTCTGGGTGAATATTCACCGGTAATCACTTCGCCTTCGGCGAATAATTGTTAAATATTAAGTCATCGATTTATCCTTTGCAATAATTCTACAGTCACAATGTGGTCATTAGGTTGGAAATACCTAGTTATGGTCATGAATTGTCCATTGCTTTCTGACTCATAGTAGCACCGAAATAAAAGACAATTTATAATTATTTTACTGAACCAACTCTCAGCCCAAATCAAGTTCTTTAGAGTTAGCCCCAATAGTGCACCATGCATGTGCGTGCCAATAGTGCGAGCGCCCCTGGTGGTACTCATGCATGGGACAAGTGACTGGCTGTAGCCTACTTTGCATGGGCATCTGTTCTCTCTCTCTCCAGAAAAACATATCCCAAACTTGATTAATTAATTAATTAATTAATTAATTAATTAATTAATTAAACATAAAATGCATTTTACTACCGGGTGTCCCAAAAAAGTACTCCCTTTTGATTCAGTATAACATAAATATTTAAAAAGCTGTTACACTTAAGCAAGAAGCATTTAGTTCAGTAATGTCTAACTTAAATTTTGGTATATGCCATGTGTATTTTAACACAGTTTTGGCCAAGATATTTGGGTTTGAAAATAAGTAAACGCAGTTATCTCAGTCAATACAGTATTAAAATGCACATGGTCCATGTATACAGCTATTTCAAATAAGGTTGTCCCCCGAGCAAAGCGGAAAAGTCGAATACGAGCGCGAAAGGCTGCTGGGAATCGCTAATAAATGAATGCATTTATTAGCGATTCCCAGCAGCCTTTCGCGCTCGTATTCGACTTTTCCACTTTGCTCGGGGGACAACCTTAATCGAAATAGCTGTATACCAAAATTTAGACATTAGTGATTAGTAATTATTGTTAATCATGAATTTTGCTTACATTACATAATTTTGAAGCCATTTTTTGACGCACCTAATCGCTTTTAGATTAAATTTTAATAAGAAATACTCATTATAAATACGTTAATTGCTAATAGTTCTATTCAACAAACCAAAAGAACGAACACGGACAGTTATTTGCACGAATTTGAAACTGCGCGAATAAGTCTCAACAAGGTGCGCGAAATTAAATCGCGCGAATTTAAAGCTGAGCGAAAATG